CCTGCTTATGCTTTGGTTTAAAGCAATAGGGAACCAGGCTTCCTTGATCAGGGCTCAGGAAGAGCCGTTTATCAAATTGTCAGGGTCTATTGGGTACTTCTGTGTTTTGTCATATTCTGTACTGAGTGTGGCCTACAATAGAACATGAAAATGGGATTGTCCTACTTCTGTGGATCACTTGGAAAATTTCTATTATTTGGTAAAGTTAGCACTTAAAGGAATACTAATGCATTTGATCTCTGCTGGTCTGTTTCTGTGCTTTATGACTGTTTGATTTTTATTGCAAGTTTGGCTTTTACTCTAATCTTCCTTCATTAGAAGTTTGTTAAAAGAGGTTTGGAAAAGCTTGTGGTTGGCAATATACACAATATGCTACTATTTTGTGGGCCCATTTAAACTACTTCTCTTGTTTATATTGATCTGTGGTAAAGGCCCTATTATTCACAGCCTAAAATGTCTGAGAATATCTGGGATTCTGTAGAGTGCCCTGGAATCCTACAGGAGCTATCAGGTACTTGAGCTCTATGGGCTCAAGGACTGAGCACACAGCTCCAAACTTTTGGGATCTATTGCTCAGAATAAAACAGGGCTTCCTGATCTTATTGTTCTGTTTCTATTAGTTGTATTCATTTCCCTGTAAGGAGATGACATATTGCTGTGGCTGCTAAATAATGCCTTGTATATGTTTGTGGGATGTTTCAGATGCATACCTGTCAAAGGCTGAAATTTATAAAAAAATGGGGGATTATACATTGGCAATCATCAATTATAGTTCAGCAATACAATGCAGCCCCACCGATGATGATACTTACTTCAAGAGAGCTGAGTTGTATTTTGAAGAAGATGATTTATTATTGGCCATGGATGATTATGCCAAAGTAAGCTCACCTTTTTGTATTATTACAATAATGTAGTAATTTTGTGTAATTTAGTGCAATAACTTTAATATATTTAACTGCATTTGAATATATCTGGCAAGTAGTTTGGAGAACAGTTATCCTTTCAAAAATGATTTAAAAATATCATGCTGTGGAGTAAATATGAATATGTAATTTCTGTTACTCCTGTCAGATAATTTAGTAAATTACTGAATGTCTACAAATTGTGAGGCAGTTATAAACTAGCATCATTGGTTTTCTGTTTCACTTTTACAGTTAACAGAAATGAGAAAAGAAATTAAAGAACAAGAGAATAAAAACAGAAATCTGAGAATGAAAGAATGTATTTTTTGGTTGTTGGATAAGATTTTAAATCATCAGAAATAATAATGAATAAAATAATGATTTTTTTTTGTCATAGTGTTTTCAGTATAACCCAAAAAGAACAGATGCACTTATGAAACATGGAATATATTTCTTTGACCGTTCAATTTTTACTACAGCTATCCAGGATTTTACTGCTGTGATCAAGGAAGACCCTATGAATGCTCAGGCAAGGTATAATATATAGCTTGACAGAAGTATTTGAATTTTAAGTGGATTATTACAATAATATTAATATGTAGAAGATTGAATATGCATTAAATCATAATAAAGCAACTGCATTTCTAAAGAGATATCTAATAGAAATAGAATAAGACTTCTAGGCCATCATAGTCATTGGGGAATCTTTGTATTGCTTTAATGACTTTGGATTAGTCCCTAGACCTTAATTTAGCTAAGCACAGAACCATGTGCTCAGATCCCACTGGAGTTATGCAAATATAGAGTCTTTTGGACTTATGTACATGAATATATGCTTTCCTTGGAAGAACTGGATTTAAATACAAACTCAAAGTGAAGAATGTCCTTAAGGATTAAATGGTTCTGTGCCTAATTTCCATTAGTTGCCTTGACACTTCTAGCATTTTGCTGAATTAATGATTTCTGTGAAAATTTTGATTATGTGAATGGGAATTATCTTTTTTTTTTCTAGAATTTAGTTAGAACATTGTTTTTGCCTTTGATTTTTACAGATTGAGAAAAATTCTTATGACTTTGACAATAATAAATATAACTCGTTTTTAAATCGTTCCTGCAAAGATTTACATTCTTTCCGTCTTCCAAGCTGTATTCATGAATGCAAAGTACAAATGAAAATGGAGATTCAGTACTAGATTATGATACCTCAGTTTGTCTGGCAACATGCTGTCTTTTGGGATGTAGGTTTCTGAGTTGCTTTATGGTTGTGGGCAATGTAGTTGATAGTCAGTAGATTCTAGATAGCCTGAGTATGTGTCCAGGCTCTTCCATAAAGCTTGAAGCTGTATTCTTCTGATCAAAGGGGGAACTTTTGGATGAACTGAATTGCTCCCATCTTCTTGGATGATTCAATCTTCATCACCTTTAATGGAAAGTCAGACACCTAACATATGTTGTAGACATCTACAAATAGATAATTAAGTTTAGATGTTTTAATTGGGAACTGAATCCCATCCAAACTGAACGTAAATGGCTAGTGAAGGACACCCTCAGGGGTATCTGTTACTTGCCAGTACATCTTGTTCATCATGGGGAACCTCGGAGTTGGGCAAAATTTTCTTCTGACGTACGGTTTTTGCATTACTAATGTAATTTACTAATGCTTCTGAAAACTCTGACAAGGACACAGTATCTTGAAGTATCATGAAGCTCCAGTGAAGTTTCTGAAATTCATGCACTCACTGAGGCTCAAATGTGCATGTATGGGCTCTGTGAAGAGTGTCATTACCCTGTGTTTGTGTAGAATTAAGCACATGATATAATTCTGGAAGAACTGATTTTACTATGTTGTATATAAAAAGGAATAGTATAAATTTATATAACAATTCTATGTAGAAGTGGGATGTGGCATTAAGGCACATTGGATAACAGTGAAAACTAACTTCAGCAATGTGAAAATGTAAGCTTTATAATTTGCATTGATAAAATAGTTGTCTATTCATGTTTTTTACCTGTTATCTATTCACACTACTTACACTTTTCCACTGAGCTTGTGATTCATCTTGTTTAAATATATTGCTAGTGCCTTGAATTTCAGGGAAGAATAGGGAAATTGTATTTACAGAGAATCTTTTTTAACTAGGCTGTATCGAGGAAGGGCATATGCTAAACAGCAGCAGTACAGAAATGCAATAGAAGACTTATCAGCAGCACTTCATCTGGACCCTTTCTGTTGGTTAGCGTTCTACTACAGAGGCTGCATACTACGACACGTTGATCCAAAAAGAGCTCTGCAGGACTTCAGTGTTTCTGGTATTATGTGTTTCTTCTAGTGCTGAATGCATTAATTATTTAAAAGAGAAATGACTATTTGCTAATATTTACTACATTCTGATATCAAAAATATTGCAGTTATTTCCTGCCGTAAGTATTGAAATGGACTATAACCACCCAGCACTTGTAGTAACTTGCTTGTTTTGATTTCTGTTAAGATTGTTATTGAATTTTGGCTCTTGCCATTGTTACCCTTTCAGTTCTTTTCCCTTTGGCTCCCTGAAGCGTTCCTTCTTCTCTTTAGCACTTTGAGTGGAGGTAGCTGGAAAGTGTAATTATGTTCTTGAAGGCATTTTATGCCATTTTAAATGTTTTGTGTTATGATTTAAAATGCTTTATCTATGATTTTTTTCCTAAGATAGATTAAGAACTAATGTACAGATAAGCTATATAGAATAACAGAAACATATATAAATATCTGAACACTTATTTTTATTCCTCTCCTCCTACAGTGCTCATCAATGACACTCAGGAAAATTTTTGTTCTTTTCTTCATCGCGGGGTCATCTATGCAGAACAGTGTCAATGGTCATTTGCAATCTGTGACTTTGAAAGCGTGCTGGCATTGGACAGGTGATTAGACTTGAACTTTAATATATTTTGTTTATATTCTGATCAACTGGGAGCATAAAAGCAATAATAAAGGAAAATAGAATCATAATTGATATCTGAAAATAGATTAGAATTAGTGCAGACATAAACAATTATGTCATCTTATTTTAGTATCTTTGCCTCATCTGCTTTTGTGTAAATGAAAATATTTGTTAATTTATTTTAAAATTTAGCTTTATTTTATCTTATATGAAAACATGACAAATGAGTTACTAAGTTTTGGAAGTCAAAAGATGAAAACTCCTCATTACAGTTGATCATTTGTGCTTGAATAATTTTATTAGTCTTTCGAGAGAGAAATTTTCTGCAATGTAAGTAAAAAGCCAAATGTTATTTCAAAATAAAATGCCACAATGTTTTGTTAAGCAAAAGCAAATAGATGGTGTTGCTGAAATAAAAGTTACTGCTTGCAATCTTTGACAGTAGGTAGCTGAATGGCTTCCATGTCCAATCTTTAGGCCTTGGGCTGGTCCAAATGCCCTCAGCTCCTCCTCTTGGGTGATTCTGCTAGAGGAGGCTTAGAAGTTGCTGCAGACCCTAGAAACACAGACTGATAACAGCCAGCCAAGTGAAATGTCAAAAAAGGAATTAGCAGGCTAGATGGAAGATGTCTGTGTTTTGTTAGAGTCTTCTGAAGCAAAAATGATTTTTTTACTGTTGAAGAATTCAGCATTTCTTGGTGTTTTCTTATAAAATTACCAACTAGAGCTATTCCAGGTCCAGATATCATAACAAATTTGTCACCCCTTCCTCACAAATCACATTTGAAGTGCTGGCTTTGGTGATCAGTGTCTAACATGTAGTCAAATGTAACAGACTTACCAAAGCCTGTAATGAAGCTATTCTAATGGGTGTTTGTCTGAATGAGGTGGTTTAATACTGGTATTGTCATTCACTATGTATATATGCTTACATTAGTATTTGATAGTAATGTGTTTTGTGATCGCTGCATGAGCTATGTGCGATTCAGAGTCTAGCTTTATAAAATATATGTGTTGTAAAGGGCATAAAGGTTGAAGTTATTGCAAATGCAATGATGTTTCATGTGATATCATTAACAAAAGAAGGAAAAATCCATTTTTAGATCTGTCATCTTAGCTTACCTAAGCATTGGTTTGATAATGCTGTTACATCTGGATCAGTACTACAAAGCTATTCAGCTATTTACTGATGCCATTGAAGTTGATCCTCTCAATGTTCGAGCCTATATATGTAGAGCCCAAGCATATCATACGGTAAGATGTTCATTTTGCTGTTGTTTGATATTCAGTATTGCTTTATTTGTACTTATTGTTGTGTGAGTACTTTGACACTTACTTATGCCTCGGTTTTACAAAGATATTAGAACATGTTTCAAGTAGTTATCATCACTGTTGTATATTCAAACATATTGTAACTATTGTAAATTACTGTTGATGTGATGCAATGATATAGCAATGATATTTTTTCTTTAATTTTACCTTTTTAGGTCAGTGTACATCTAAGGTGCTTTAAGATGTATTTTTGAAATATAAAAGACATTTTGAAATAAAAATATTTGAAATTAATTTTTTTCTAAACTTTTTTTCTTTTGAGTTCTTATTTTTTAGGAAAGTTAAATCTGTTTCACTACAAATAGAAAACATTTGCAAACTTTAAATTCTTGTGAACCTGAGTGTTTTCCACTCCTGCATAGGATTTCAGGACAGATTTTCTTAGCAATTATTTGAGATCCCCAAGAGTCCAAAGAATGAAGTGTGACAATTTCTGAGATTGTCTGTGGCAGAACTGAATAAACTGTTGTACCTTACAATGCTTAATTTGTTTCCATAATGTTTGGAGAGGTTGCTTGGACTGTTCATTTTCTTTCATAGCATATCTAAAAGAAATTACTTTTAGCTCTGAGTAGCTCAACCATCCAGTTTGATCAGTTATCTCTGTTTTTGGTTTCTTGATCTTTAATCATAGCTTGTGTTGGAAGTCATCTACCAACACGCAGATTGCTTTGGTAGTTATATTTACAGAGTTCAGATAACAGAAATAAATATAGCAGGTAAATAAAGCTCAGTGGGTGCATTCCATTATATATGCTTTGATGACAGTTTTGAAGAGCAGTTATCCCAGATGGATGTGTCAGTCTTCGGATCCTTCATTGTAATAAGGGAATGCATTGGCTCAGCATCTAAATGAAAGTGATGGGGACTTCATGCACAGCCACTTGGAAATAAATGATTAGGCTTATTGCAGCAACCAAGATTCATCAGGATGTAGCACCTGCAGATCTTAAAACCTAATGTCCTTCCCAGTAGCCCAGAGTCTACATACTCAGATTTTGCAACCATAAAGGAACTGTTTTTTGGTTTTGCTCTGTGACAGTGTATAGAAATAAGCAGGATGCCTGTGTTGGACCTTTTAGCGAGAACAATTCTGAGTTTCTGTGCAGAGGACATATGCACCTAATGAGTTAGTATCATGTGTACATTGTATCCCGCAGAGCCATGATTTGCTTCAAATTAATTTGTTGTTGTTGTGTTAATTTGCTTCAAACTGCATTTATATTAGCAATCAAGTTGCTGTTTTTTTTTTTTTTTTACTTTCTCAATTACAGATTCATAATTTAAAAGATGCTGTGAGGGATATAAATCGAGCCATTCATCTTTATCCAAACAAATCACAGTTATACATATTAAGGTAGGAAAGTGATTGAAGCAATTGGTTCAGGTCTTCATAGGTTTCTCACTTTTGAAAAAAAATCCAGTTTGGAATCTTATTGGTTAATGCCCTCATATCCTTTGTAATTTGCTCTGAGTATGTTTGAGTACAAAAAATGCATTTTTCAACCTGAAGAACTTCATATCTGTTGTAAACTTTGAGGAAGTGACTTTGTTTTATATTCCCTATTCTGTTCATGAAAGTGCATATAGACTCCATATAAAAGCAAGTAAATAGTCATAAAGTCAGTATTGCAAATCTGAACTTTAAAAAAAATAATAATTTTAAATGTTTTCCTTACGTGGATAGATTTTTTTCACTGATTTGTCAGCAGAATCCACATAATAAAAAGAATATGAAGGATTGAGTCCAGGTCTGTTTAAATTTCTTTCCCTTCTCCCCCACTCTCGACTCTGTGGGAAGAATTGATCTTTATCAAGTTTAAAAATGCTTACATAAAGCTGTTTCCTACCCTGACAAACCAGAACAACTGAAGAGGAAATTCTTGAACGTAATTCCTTTGGTGGATTGAGAGCATTGTTTATTAAGTTTCAGTCCGTAACACTGTCCTTTCCCACTTTCAAAAGTGGGATTGCTCAGCTGTCTCCAGGACTGTTGTTTGGCTAGCAGAATACTTTCTACTGATGGTTATATCTGAACAGGCTCTGCTGCTCTTTGAAATCAGCCGTATCTATCAGCTGTCAGTCTGTGGTGGATTTTGGAAGTAGCTAAATTAAGTTTATTGTGACAATTCTTGAAAGGATTGATGGATGGAATCCAAAAAAAAAGTATTTTTGTAACTCTCACAATGTGGAAAGTTATACGGAATTATACATAGAAACGTGTAATTTCTTGGCGTTGTGTTGTTAAAAAGAAATTAAAAATTGAAAAGATATTCATGAAGGAAACAAAGAACAAAAACCTCTTTTTATTTGATGACGTTATTTTTTCTTTTTATACTAAAGAAAGCAAATTGTAGATTTTTACCTATTCCAGCAGTACTTGAATTTTGGAAAAAGGGCTTGGAGATAGCTTTACTAACTGCAGCCAACAAATTTTCCATTATAGGGGGAAGTACTTAATGGAAATGAAGAAATATGAGCTGTCAGGATTATGTATTCACCAAGTTGCGGAAATGGATGAAGGTAATGTCAATTTGCCTAGGGATTTGTGAACCATGTATACATGAATCTCTGTGTATGAATCATATATGTATGAACCAGGCATACATGTAAGCAAGGAATTGTTTAAAAATTTAAACTTAAGGCTGTTTACCATGAATCAGCTAAAATTCTTGTTCTCTAGTGTATTTTGTTTGCATGTTTAGAGCCTTAAAATAATATTGTTGTACATTATTACCAGCAGTATCATGTGTGATTTCAAATTTTTGGTACCTTTTGTGTGTCTGTCATTTTTTGTTTCCTCCTGATTCCTAACATAAAGAAATATTGAGTAAGGATTCTCTTTTGTTCTTATATGTAATCTTTCCTTACAAGACAAGACATAGATTTATGACTGAACCTTTTCAGTGCATTTGAACAATTAAAATATTGCAGTATAGTTGTTTTGTTATGTGCTGTCCATATTGCAACACACTCTGTCAAACAGTTTCCTGTCTCTGGTAGTGAACAGCAATGAATACACAGGGTATAAAAATAAAGACAAAATAAAAAGTAAAAGCAAAGTAAGTGCATGGTGTTACTTCCGTGGAGAAAGCCTTCTTATATATGGGAAAATAAAGGTAAAAATGTACACATATTTAGCAATTGAACTGCACTTGCTGGTAACTGACTATTAATTTTCAAACTTTTGTATGAAATTAGTTAATATTTTTATGACTGCTAAGGCAAACAGTGTTGGTTTTCTTCCAGAATCCTTCAAGTCTCAGCCTGTTCAGCGAGCTCTCATTCAGTCATTTTGTCAAAATCAGAATAAAGCAATAGACTGTATATGTGAAGTTATTGCAGTTCAGCCTGAGCCTTCCATGTATGTTCTCCTAGGAAAAATACAAATGAAAGCCAAGAAAACTAAGGTTAGAAACATTTACATTATACATGTGCCAAGAAAGTCAGTGTTTTGTTTCTGTATTCTTTTAGTATTTTATGGGATAACTTACTCATTTACATGAGTAAGACTTTGCAGTATCTGTTTAAGTTATAGAAGGCAAGTAAGACTCCATCACGCACATTAATCGTTCAGCATAATTAGGCTATTTTAATGTTAAAACATTTAAGAAGATATATTAAAAGATATAATTATGTAGGTTGATGTCAATTATATATCCTAATTCTGCTTCTTTTGAAATGAAATGATGCAGAAGTATGTCTAGCATATTTGTGTAATAAAATGCAGTAGAAATGCTTAATTTGTTTGTGTAAACTGAATATGTGTTGTACAGTTATAGCTAGTTTCTCAACTTTTTAAAATTCTTATGTCATAGAGTTTAACTAATATTGTCACTCATCTGGCTCCTGCAGTTAACCTTTGTTTTTGGTGCAATCCTACTTCTTTATAAAAAATGTACAGAGCCCTGTTTCTCTAAATATAATAGAAACAAACAAGAGCTAGTTTCAGAAAGCCTTTACTCCACCTCTCCATCGAGTTATGTGTTCAGCTTGCACCGTCTTTCTTTTTTTGCTCTTAACCTGTGTTTACAACTTCTTTTAAAATGGTTGTCTGGTATACACTTAAAAAAAAATCCTTTTTTTTTTTTTTAAACCAGATAAAACCTCTTGGGCCATTCAGTCTTTTTGATACATTAGATTTTTTATATATCTCAATATCTAAAACTATGACAGAACTTGATTGGTTCTGCTGTCCTTGAGAGAAGAATGTCAGGTGGCATTTCAGATGGCAGTCATAAATACCCTTCAGTCCAACCCATTTCAACTTCTGTGGTTAAGAGGATGTGTATTAGAGCCATTTCTTGATTTCTCAGTGTGCTTCTCCCAGACGTGAAGACCTGCACTGTTATTTCTCCTAGAAAAGAATTTCAGAATTCTTCTAGTATGGGAAAATTTTCAGACTTAAGGCTATAGTACTCTGAGAATCAACTGTGCCAGTAGAATCATATGTGAGTTCAAGCATTTGGAGTTCTTTGTTTCTTAAAATATCAGGCCTCTTTAAGAGTAGGAAGAGAAAGGTTTTTAACAGGAAATGCTGACCTATATGGTTTAAAACTGTCTTGATAACAACTTAGGCAGGTGTAGTATTTGCAGGTATCAGGCATGGGGATTTCAGGCCTGTTTTTTTTTTTTTTTTGAACAAATACCTTTTTTTTGGTAGACTCATTTAAGAAAAAATGCTATAATTCTTTTACACTTCTTGGTATTTAAAATTTCAACCATTGGACAAAACTATTTTTGGGAGGTCCAAAAAGATATTGTCTCAGAGGTCTCTTCCCCTGCCGTTGGCCCTTGAGGAATGGCTTATCTTGAACTAGTTTTAATGTGTTGGTTGTTTTCCTTAAATCTCTTTTGAACCAAAACCATTCATAAATTGTTGCCCACATCTGTGAGGCATGAAGGTTTTGAGATGCTACCATCTTAAGTTAAATTGCTTTAATGCCTGTGCAAGATTGATCTTTTAAATGTGTTTCTTAATGGACAATAAATTTCTGCAAGTTGTATATAGAATAAATAATTTGTCTTTACATAGGAAATTAGCATCAAATATTCATTATTACCAGACACCATGAAAAGCTGTACCTCTTCCTGAATAGAGAAAATATATTATATGTAAAATTCTTTAATGAATAGTTATATTTAATTATTTTTATAAATAACCGTATAAATGAATAATGTTATTTCTGTGTTGTGTACACTAGTTCCTTGCAGCATATAAATGAAGATTTTTTTTTTCTGATCTGTTGTTTAAATGAAGCATCTAGAGTATTGCTATGTCCAGTAACACCAAGGGAGCACCAGACTAGTCATTTATAGGTTAATGTTCCAAAGACTAAGAAAACCTTTGAACAGAATTAAGAATAACTGACTTTGCAGACTTTTAGTCAAGTGCTTTACAACTATGCACTTTGTATTGCAGAATGCTATGGAAAGTTTTAAAATTGCTACAAAGCTTCTGATTACCTCAGGAAGAACCCTACCTAATACATTTGAGGCTGCAGAAGTACATTATCTTATAGGCCTGTGTTATATAGAGCAAGTAAACTTATTGAAGGTTAGTATCAGTTATAAAGACTTTGTTGATCTTTGAATTTACTATCTGTAAGCAACAGCTACAAAAGCTGAATAAAGGATTTTAATATATTAAGCAGTCTCCACTGCCTTTAACAAACCTTTTGCTTGTGGATCACAGTAGACTGTCTTGCAGGTTTGTGAATCATTTTTCCAGCACTAATGTTATCATTTGCTGACATTCTGATGGAACAGAAAACAGCATGAATTTCTTACCTTTGTATCTATTTTTTCACAGATGCTATAGACAGAAAACTGTCTATGGAGGAGTATGAATAGTTTAGTGAATTGGCACTAAGTTTGGACAAGAAGATTCCTGGAATATTCTCTGAGTTACAGCACTGATTGCATAATTGTTTTCTATATTGCTGTTGTTCAAAACACCCCTAGTTGGTTCTATTTGGCCTTCATCTAATGTATGATACCTAATATACCTACTTATATTACGTATGATGCCTACTTATATTTCCTAAGAAAAATATATTTACCTAGTTTTAGTAAAATAAATATTTTAAACTTCTTTCTTGAAGGTCATATTGAAAGCCTGTCAGTGTAATGCCAAATGTGGGTTCATGCCAATGTTTTTATTTCAATATTTTAGTTAATATGTTTCAGTTTTTTATTTATTAAAAAGCTCTAGGTTGATATTTGAATTATCAGAATTTCATTGGCCTGGAGAACCATTTTTTTTCCTTGTCTGCCTCTAAATTTGGCAGTCATAATATTCCTCTGGAAGAAATTTGTTGGAAGCATCTGAAATGTCTAATGTGGTAGCACATGACAATCACAAAAGATGACTCTCTGTGTCAATATAGATCTAGTACTATAGCTGTAGATCCCAGAAAAGACCATGACTTTGTAAGCTAATGTGCAGTATAGGGGAGAAAACAATCTAGATGGATTTTAAGAGATGTAGGTTAGCCAATTCGTTGTCCATTGTAATAAGTAACTTCACTATTCCAGTTCTTCACAGGCAGAAGACCACGTGTTTGGTAAAACCTCTGCAGTCTCACTGAGGAGAAGATTATTAAATTGATTAGATTGTGCCACAGTGTGATTATGATTTTGTCGTTTGGGATATTAAATATCATAAAAATTTTAGTAGTAGTAAACAGATGAAAACACTAAAAAGCAATGCACTATGTTGAGTTTCAACAGCATAAATTAGGATTATCTACAAATTAGGCAGATAAGCAACTGGTTTAAACTATGTATGAAAGCATCATGTTTAATCCAAATGATATATCTTCCATCTAGGCCTGTGAGGCTTTCAGTGTGGCGATCAGATTGCATCCAAGTTATCCTGATGCTTTCTATCAGCGAGGGCTCTGTAGAATGCAGCTTGGACAAGCTAAGTGTATCCAAGATTTCAATCGAACACTTGCACTTTGCCCATCACATTTTGAGGTAATATCAAGACTCCTGGTAAAACTTGTTTCTGTGAGTCACTTTAGAATGAGTTCAAAGAATGACACATTCTGCATTTATGTGTACACGTCTTATAATCTGCCAGCCGGCATATTGCTCATTTTATTTTTTTCAGAATGTCAGATGTAAGAATATCAGAGCACATACTCCATCTTGCTGTAACAAACTGCTTTTGCTTCAAAGCAGCTTCAATGATTTCCATTAAGAAATAGTTTACTCATCATTTGGGTTTTATTTTTTAGTATATGTTTGCCTGTGTAATATCCTTTCTTTGGATTTTTTTTTTTCAAACCTGAAGACTTTTCCTTCATTCAGTTCTTAGCTCATTTATTTGAACACATTTTTTTTTGCTTCAATATTCTTGCTACTTTTCATTACTGTTATTGATACATCCTACATATTTTCTCATATGAATATAGTTCGCAAGATCTATTTTTTTTAGTGAAACGATATTTTTTACTTTAATATCTGTCTGCTGTAAAAAAACCAACTTTTCAACACGATACCACATTCTGTCTCTATTTCTACAGGCATATATGAGTCGTGCTGTTTACTATGGAAGTAAAGGCAGATACTCTAAGGCAATTCTGAATTGTAATGAGGCTCTCAAAATTAATCCTAGCAGTGTGAGAGCTTATTTTTACCGAGGAACTTTAAAGTATCAAAACAAGGTAGGAATATCGGTTAGTGTTCTATATTTGAATGTAATACACAAGTTCAATTCATCTTGATGATGGGGGATAAGGGATTGAGTGTGCCATGGATATAGGATGGTGATAGAGAAGGGTGTCTGTAGCTCCCTTAGGATCTGGATAATCTATCCTACTTTATTCCTAAATAGCGGTAAGAGCTTGGCAAACTAGTGTTGCTGTTGAAAGGAAGAAATTCAACTCGATTAACTTTTTGATTTAATTGAACTCTAACTCGATTACTTTCCCTTGGAAGCCACTTTCTGTTTGTCCTAGTAAAATGAATGATTGATAATGTATTGCATTAAATGAATATGATATAAGTAAATACGAAGAATATTGGCTTTGTCTAGATAGAGCTTCTGCAAAAGCATTCCCACTGAAAAGGACTGCAATAACTAGTCCATAATGAATGTCCTGAAAAAGTAGAATGCTTTCCAATCCTGAAAGCAAACCAAAACTATGAAATCAAATTTTACAATAGGCTATTATTTAAGCAAGAATATTTAGTGCTTTGAATTGTGAATTATAGTTTATACAATCTGTTTTTACATGTGCAGACATATAAGGTTGCAATTGAAGATCTTTCTAAAACTATAGACCTCAACAAATCCTGCATTTTGGCATACTATAACAGAGCAGTCTCTTATAATCAAATAAAGGATTTCAGAAAGGTATGGTATTCACATGTTCACATCACTCATGTTCATAATAGCTGTTTATTGACAGTTAATCAGAATTCGAATCTCTTTCAATCTCTTCCTGAAAGAAATTGTTTTCAAGAATTTTCTCTCTCTCTCTCTCTCTCTCTCTCTCTCTCTCTCTCTCTCTCTCTCTCTCTCTCTCTCTCTCTCTCTCTCTCTCTCTCTCTCTCTCTCTCTCTCTCTCTCTCTCTCTCTCTCTCTCTCTCTCTCTCTCTCTCTCTCTCTCTCTCTCTCTCTCTCTCTCTCTCTCTCTCTCTCTCTCTCTCTCTCTCTCTCTCTCTCTCTCTCTCTCTCTCTCTCTCTCTCTCTCTCTCTCTCTCTCTCTCTCTCTCTCTCTCTCTCTCTCTCTCTCTCTCTCTCTCTCTCTCTCTCTCTCTCTCTCTCTCTCTCTCTCTCTCTCTCTCTCTCTCTCTCTCTCTCTCTCTCTCTCTCTCTCTCTCTCTCTCTCTCTCTCTCTCTCTCTCTCTCTCTCTCTCTCTCTCTCTCTTTCTCTCTCTTTCTCTTTTTCTCTCTTCCTTTCTTTCCCTTCCTTCCCTTCCTTTCTTCTTTTTTTTCTTTATAGTCATATTAATTACACATTGTGACATTATTATCCCTTGAAAAATCTGAGGACTAGATCTAGGAGAAGACTTTATCAAAGTAGTGATTTGATGAGCATCATTCACATATTTCAACTTCTCTTGACTGCCCCTAAATGTTTCTGCTTCTGGGCTTTACTTGTGCCAAAGGCACAAAAGAACACAGACAGGCACCCCCCTGAAAAAGTTATTGCTTAAAATACATTTTATCTCTTTAGGCTTTGAAAGATTATGGAATTCTTCTTTTGCTTGAACTGAATAAGGAAATAGTTTTGAAGGTGTTAATTAATCGTGGACTGCTCTATGTGGAACTTGGTGATTATGCTAATGCATGTGAGGTATGGAATCCTTCTAGTTAACAGGATATTTAGATTTTTTTTTTCTATCAGTTGTATTCCGTTGCTGAGTAGAAGACCAATCTGCTGGTTTTTGCTTTCTTCAGAAGCAGTCTGTGCACAGTTCTTATTTGTTTAAACACCTAACGGTGCTCTGGCAGTGAAGAATGCAAAAATACTGCAGTTTTACCTGTTTTGCAATAATATTATATGGCTAGAGTTATGTATGGAAATTGTACAAAACTTCATAAGCAAGAACTTGATTTTTCTTCTTTTTTTAATATTGAAGTAATTTATGTTTAGTGCAAATGCATACAAACTCATAGCAGAAGCCTCTGTAAAAGAAGGATTCAGATTAAGTGGGCCTGTTCCCTTTCTCTGTGTGTGTGGAGGGGAGGAGATAAATGACCATTTTTGTTGAAAAGGAAGGAAGGATAAAACCCTGAGTTAATTTTCTTGAAGTATTTGATCCTGAAACTGGCTCACAATGTAGGTGACTCTCTCACTTACTGGAATTCCATCGGGTATAGCAATAGCAGTCTTCAAATGTAACAGGGCTAAGCATCACTTTTTCAAACCTGTGCTTTTTTCTTATTTTTGAAATTTTAAAAAGTTTGAATTTTAAAAAGCTTGAATTTTTATTTCATTTAAAGCAAAGTGCGTTTTTCTTAATGTAGCTGAGAAAAACGGAGGCATTTGCTGCCTCCATTGTGGTCAAATAACTAAATTCTGATATCTTTGTGATACCATGAATTTCAGCATAGGCAGCCTAAAATAGAATAATACTTCTTACTTCCAAATATAGATTGAAAAATGAATATGAATCCCATTCCAGTGACCCAGAAATGTTCCATTGGATATACATGACAAGAGCCCTTTGCAGCTGATAGAACTTGCATAGAAATAAATGAAATAGAGCTATTGTTTTATTCATCTTTCTCTCATACTTCAAGATGCAATTGATCAGAATAGTTCAGATGAGAGCCTGAGATGATGCAAGCAAAGAGCAGTGAAAGAAGACTGGGGGTTTCTGGAAATGGGGCAGAACCACTAGAATCAACAAAAATTTATTTGAACAAAAGGCAAATTTACAAACAGATAGTTGGACAGTAGACACAAAACCATTATAGCTAATTTAAGGAAAGAAGCAGAGATAAATATGCTGGGCACACAAGGCATTCTCAATCAATTCTCTCAATATGTTATTGCAAGAAGTATGCCTGTATACATGTATAGTGCTTGTTGAATTAAAATATAATTGTTTAAGCAGGGATTTATGCTAATTGAATTGAATATATTCTAATATGAATTGGGTGCACTGGAAGAAACAGAAAAAAAGTATAATTTAATCTATAGAAAAACTGAGTTGCTAAATGGAACTGCCTGTCTTGGTTGATTGTGGTAAGTGTGGGGTAACCTGTCAGAATAGCACCTTTGGGTAGAGTTAACCACACCTGATCTTTGGAACTTGGATTCTGCTTTTGCTCTGCTCTCTATGCAGAGCAGAGAGTATAGTTCAAATTGCACATATGAATAATCCTCTTCACTTTGCTGGAAATTCTTTGAAAGGCTTTGGTGGATTGGAGCAGTGCGTCTCAGTAGTTTTTCAGCGGCAGACCTGCTATTTTACCATACTAATTTGAACAAATAAAAAATATTTGTAGCTGTAAATCATGGATACATCAGCTAAACCACTCCTGTTACATGCTGATTCCTTTGCCATGTAGCGACCTAAAGTGCTTCCTTATTCATAAGGAAGGTATTGCTTTTAAAAGTACCTGTACACTTTTTCTGTTGAACCACATACATTAACATTGCATTCATTTTGACAAATGTTCTTTGTGTTAGTAAAAGGAAAAAGTCTTGAAAAAAAGTTATTTACAGAAAATATTATCGTGAAAGTACCTAGATAATTTTATTACTGCAACAGTTATATTGAAATAGCATATAGTTGAATACGTCAATATGTATACTTAAAAATAATGACTTAGGTAATGATTTATATGTTTTAATGTATGTTCTTTTCAGGACTTCAAAGAAGCAGCTTTGCACAGTCCATTTGATAGTCATATCTTCCAAGCTATTGGAATCTGCTATCACAGGTAATATAGGCAGTTTTTGTTTGATGCTGAGTAGGGATAGGGTGCAATTGCTGCACTGGGTGCTCTAGTTCAGCACACTGAGAACTGGATTTTGAGCACAGTGAGAACAGGAAGAAGAGTGAGTATCTAAGAGGAATGGAAAAAAGAAGAATAAATTGAGTACTTTTCAAGTGTAACAACTAGAATTAAAATTCCCTTTTTGGAGCTTTTGCTTCTGGTAGAATCAAAAGGAAATAGAGCAGTAAAATAGATCCAGGAAAATTACTGAAGAACAAAGAATTATGGGATGTAAGGAGAGACATAAATCCTTGCCCTTGAAGCAGAGTGGAAATAATATAAAGTTGTGTTACTTTGTTCAAAATTAGTTAGGATACAGTTTCTGAATAGATCTGCACTTCATGCTTTAAAGCAAAGCGAAAGCCTCAGGGTTTTTCATTGCATTAATTTTTTATTTTGACATTCCAAAATATAATTTCATCAAAATGAAATTTATTATTAAAGATTAAAATATATTTGTTAGATTATTAAAATAGATAAAATTTGGCTGAATTAAGTACATCAGTATTTTAGCCTATTTATCATGGTGGCAGCTGGAGTCCATAAATGATCATCTTGGAAAACAGTAACTATGATACAACAGAAATTTTCATATCTCTGTGCCAGTTAGTTTAGTTTTATCTATTTTATTATAGATTTTCTCTGCATCTATCATCTGCATATATGTCATCTGCAGACCCATACAACTCAGCCGCAGCTCATTTTGAGATTCATCCCACAACCTCTTAATGTTCTTCACTGTCCATGTACGTGTTTAGCGTGATGTCTTGATTTATTCTGGTGTAAAGTGCTGTGTTCGAAGAAAGCCTTTGGTTTATAACCCTTAAAGCTATATGTTAGCCATATGAATTCAATCTTTCTTCCTTTCATAAAGAAATACAGCTGTGGTTCAGTTAGAATCTGGAAATTTAGCTTATATTAAAACACATTCTTATCTTTCAGTGTCTTCTTGGTTAAATGACTGTGTACATATTAATATCTTTGCTTTATATGTGAAGAAAAATACTAGAATTCTTTGGTATTTAATTTGTTAATTGCTTTTTGTTCCTGGCTGGTATACTCTAAATGTGTTTTGTATCTTAGGCTAAGGACAGAATTCTATAGTTGGCTACTCTTAGGCAGAATGGTCTATGTCTGAATATCGGCTGTTTTTACACTGCAAGGTTATCATAGCTTGGATATGGTCAAGAGCTGGTATGAGAAAAAAAAAAACAGAAGGCATATATAAGAAGTAAATTTGTTATGGGCAGAACAGCTGTGTCTGAATAAACTAACAAACAAGTATGTGTGGTCATGACATTTGGACAGCATGAATAAAGTCTGCATTAGAATCTGCTGAGTAGAAATGTTGAAAAAGCTAATGAGACTTGCTAAGGATTTCAAAATGCAAAATCTTTGAAAAAGTGAAAACTTGGCCCAGCAAAAGCTAATGAGACTTGCTGTTTTCTTCATTGGGCTAAGGATTTCAAAATGCAAAATCTTAGACTCTGCCTTCACTGATCTATTAAATAACAGGGAAGCGCATATAGAGAAAACAAAACTAAGAAAAAGAAAAAGTTTTGTCCCTTGGTAAGAATTGAGCTGTTTTCTGAGGTAATTATGTGGTAGTACTTGCTGATAATTCATAAGCTGAGGATCTTATAAAATAGGTAAAAATGTAAGCAGACCTAATAGTCATATTTCTATTTTTAGAATTAATGAGTTTGAAGAAGCTGTGAAGTCATTTAACCAGGTTCTCAAACTAGACCCCCTTTATGTGGATGCCTATGTTGGAAGAGGAAATTCGTACATGGAAAACGGACAAGAGCCTGATCGTAAACAAGCACAGAAAGACTTCTTGAAAGCACTTCACTTGAATCCAAAGTGTGTGAAAGCCAGAATTTGCTTAGGATACAACTTGCAGGTAAAAATTCATTGTCAATAATATACATAATCAAAGAAGATAAAAATAAATTTGTGTGTATGTATTTATACAATGTAAAAGATTTAAGGGATTGATAGGATAAAATAGTCCATATGTAAAATGGAGACTCTTGTGGAGGCTCCTTTGGTTTTAAGTAAATGAGCAGACTATTATTCTTTTTTCACATTTGTGCCTAATCTTGTTGGATGTTTGCTCTTGAATAATGACATATCAAGTTACTTTACACTCATTTGATTCACCTATATGGTCCTCTGATCAAGTACTATGATTTTTTTGTGTGTTTATGAGCTATTTATTGAAATAAAAAGTGGCCAAAATTTTGACAAAACTATGTATAAAACAACCTTACAAAATATAATGCTAGCAAATCTGTTAAAATTCCTTGGAAAAGGACATATGTAAAATAATCTCTGAAAACTATTTAATATATTCAAAAATGATCAATCCTGTATTAACAGAGGGGTATGTAATATCATGTGACAATTTTTTTTCCTCCATATATAATTCCTATGGTTTTCTTACTGTGCATTATACTACCTGCTTTCCTGAAATGTCTTGAATTGTGAATATTGTTGTGAATTAATTTTTGCCAGTGTCAGTGACTAATTCCAGTGTCTTGTGTTGGGTCATTTTGAATAGGTTTCATGCAAATTTTATTTTACAGCTTTGCCAATGCAATTGAATTCTAATTAATATTTTTGCAGTGTTTTATGAAGTATTAAGTAATAGAAAACCTATAGTTACTGCCTTGGTAAGTAACAAGACATAGGTAGGAATTGGACAGCTTAGATGCAGGGGGCAGCCCAGAGAGTTAATAATGTGGTATGTGCTTAATTGAGGTGCCTAAACTCGCTTAATGCCTTTTCTTTAGCCTGATTGTGCCTTTGTAGCTTAAATACAGGAACATCTATATTGTTGTAGGTAACAAGATGGCCTTCCCCCTTAACTTAATCCACTTGTAAATTAGGTAAAGTGTTTACATTTTGACTATGGTCCCAAGAGCCCTATGCTCCCAGAATCTATCACTTTCTTGATGGTGCAACATTCTTCATGAAGTATAGTGTGCCAGAGTTCCATTTCATGTGCTTTAATTTGAATAATGTGCTTATTCTGCCATCCTCAAGCATTCTATGATTCTGTGCTAGAGAGGATGTAATATGGCAGCAAAAGCAGTTGTTGCAGATGTATACTTACAAGGAGAATGAGTATTGCAAAATTAACAAGGTATTTGAATGCATTATTTTCCTGTATTTTAGCTAAGTGCATTTGTGCATACAAACATGCTTCTGCTCTAAATTAGTATGTTGTTTGGCATTTCATATGCTTTATTATTATGGACATACTACAATTCATTTTAGGCCCTTGGAAAATTTCAAAAAGCTTGGAACCAATTTACAATTGCTATTGACATTGATCCAAAATGCCATGCTGCATATGATGGACGAGCTTCGGTCTGTCTTCAGATGGGAGAAGCCTTTGCTGCATTTCAAGATACAAATGCTGCATTAAAGGTAAATATTAGGTTAACGTGATTTTAGGAAAATGAGCCAGTTCTTATAAAGCCAGACAATGCTGTATATGAAGAGCTGACAATTTATATTAGAAGGTGCAATTGCATTTTTAATGAAACAAAGTTAGAGTAAAAATGTGAACTAAATAACTATGTGTCCATTCTTGTCTTTCAGCTCACTACCACTGCTGCACTGCTAACAAATCGTGGTGTTATCAACCAGTTTATGGGATATCTATCTTGTGCCATGAGGGACTATCAAAATGCAATTGCTGTTGAACCTGACTATGCTTTAGCCTATTTCAATGCAGGAAATATCTACTTCCGTAATCGACAGTTTTCACAGGTAATTCTCTCTATATCATCTTCAGAACTGCTTTCCTTGATACCAAACTAATTATAAATATAATTAACTTGAATTTTTCTTTCATTGAATTTCATAGTTTTATCTTCTAATGGGAGATTAAGAAATCTGTAGCAATTATTAACAAATAATTGTCCTACCTCTGGATGTTTTATTATTTCTATACATGAACTGAAATTCATGACAGCTATGATAAGCATTTCAAAAATTTATAAATATTTGAGATATGTAAACTCTCTTGTTATTTCAGTAAAACCTGCTTATGTCCCATAGCTGCCTTTTAAATTATGGCAAATTGAGACTAAATAATTTTCCCAGATTCGCTACGGCACCATGAGAATGAAAAGAATCTTCTGCTGATAGGCTTAAATCAAGAAGTTGGATCCTTCTTCTGTTGCCACTGTAATTTCATTTTAAAATTACCTCATTCTGCTTAAATACAGTGGGGATATTCAAATACAAAAGAGTTGGATACTGAAATTCCTCTTGCAAGGAGGCTTGGAAAATTGCTTGAAGGCAAGGACCATTTATTTCTCTCTATCCAAGGAAGTCTCAGCACTGATTTCTGCTTTGGTCTTCCTGCCACACTCCCGGGCCTCGGCTGAGTATTGCTCTTTCATTTGATTGGAACTTTGTGGTCCAGCAGCTGTGGAAACCCAGGACGGGTGCTGATGCTTCAGCACATTTCATTTACTCAAATTAATTCTCTCCCAGCTTTGCGTCTGTAAGCAATTCAGCTTGCAGTATATGTACTGAGGTGTGCATTATGTACATGCTTGACAAAAGACTCTAAATGTAGGTAATTCGTCTTCATTCTGCAAAAGAAATAGATATATGTAGGAGAAGAGTTTTATGTTCTGATAACTTTCTCTGAGTCAGACTCTTTGAGGATTAGACTTGAACCAGAAATACGTAAGGAGTGCATGTTCAGTGCCCTGCATATGGCTTCCCCTGCCGTACATCCATTCTCTTCTACATCCATGATTGTTTTTCCATGATTGGTCTTCCAGAGGCTATTCTTGCTCTTCTGCTTCTTTGATTTCTTACTCCACTCAAGAAGCTGTGTGGTTATGAAGATGTTCAAGAATATGTGTTGCGTTATCAATTCATATTCTAACTTAATTCAAGTTGTATAGTGTGTACATTCAAATCGTATTAGTATGTAGCTCATTTCTCCTGCAATATAATTGTAATTCAGCATGAGCATATATTCCCCAGAAGTCCATCTGGGTGTTGATAGTACATTGACCTGTTTGTAGATAGACATGCTGGTGCCGTGCCTCTCTCTTCTAGGCGCAAAGAGCATTAAGCAGAATGAATAAAGATTTATAAGCATAAATAATTTTAAAAAATAAGAATTTAGACATTGTACATTATCTAGTTCCTTGATTTTAACAGTGTATTTTATCCTTAATTTGTGTATTTCGTAGGCCCTTGGCTATTATTCCAAGGCATTACAACTTGAGCCAAGAAACGAGTCCGCTGTTATGAATCGTGCTATTACAAATACATTATTAAAAAATATTAAAGAAGCAAAAGAAGACTTTGAGAAGGCAGTTTCTCTCTGTCCATTCTCTGCAGCAGTGTATTTTAACAGGGCACATCTCCATTATGGATTAAAGCAATATGAGCTAGCTGAGAAAGACATTTCAACAGGTAATTTTTATTTACCAGACCTAATTACATTTGGTAACATACTAACAATTATGAGAACAAATTACTTGGCTTTATTTCATAGTTTAGAAAGTAGCCTTATTTTTTAGTATATTTTCTAGCTATGATGAGAAGATAATATGATGTTATTAAAAAGAGGAAGTTAAGTAAATTTGCTGATATTTTTTTGATTCTCAAAACTAATAAGAGTATGCAGGATAGAAGAGAAAGCAATTTATATAATGTGTATCATAGCAGCTGAACAGAATCCTGCTTTTAAATGAAATTGTATCAAGAAGTTGTGGAAAAACACTGTGCTTAAAACGTCTGGGGAATTTGGGTATGTTGAAAAATCTAGGTGACTGGAAGAGAACATACAGATAGCTTGTTTTGTATACAAATGTGGGATTTTGTGAATGTGTTCTGTGTGTAACAAGTTTTCTAATAGCATTTGGCTTCTATAAGCTAGAGTTATTTTGAGTATATTCTTATGAAGTATCTGAACATGAATCAATTCTTTCTCATACTGCCTTTCACATAATTGAGGTGAGGTTTTTATATTGGGATTAGACATATTTCTTTGAGAACAATAGCTGAAATAAAATTTTATCCTGGTCTTAATAAAATAGAAATCTTTAGTTCAAATAACTAAGCTATGTTCCTCCCATTACTCCTGCTTGCCTTGCTATTAGCACCAAATTCAGCTACCTTCCAAGGATTCCTCCCTATATCCCAGAAATTAATAGTTATAGTTTTCTGCTCTTAGATTTTGCACCTGCTTTCAAGGAAAGCATAGTTTTTACTGTTGGGGAAATATTTAAGTGGGTTTCATAAATACCATCAAAAAAGAAAAAAGAAAAAAAAGTATAAATATTATAACAAAGTTGTCTGCTTCTTTATGTAAAGTTAATTAGTCTGACTATGAACACATATTTGGAAAGATTTTGGGCTCTGACATGAGCTTTTGTCTAGTACATGCTTACCTTATAATCATATAATAATGTAAAAACAAATACCTGAATATCTTTTTCTTATTTTTTTACAGCATTGTCAATTCAACCCAATGATGCCTTGATGTATAAATTTAGATCTGATATCCGTGCTAAACTGGGTTTCAGGAAAGAAGCTATAGATGACTACAAACAAGCAATCAGCATTCAAGAACAGATTAATTCCATTTGAAAAGTTATTGAAGCTACAATGTGGCTTCAATTTACTGATTTCTCAGATTTTCAGTTAAAAAAAAATCTTCCATGAAAGAAAAATTAATAATCTAACTTTATTTTCATATATTCTATAAGCATTTTATTTTTCTAAATGTTCCTGATTCAGTGCAAAACCAGCCAGAGTTATTTAAGATGCTGCATTTAATTTTTATGAGTGTTAGGTCATTCTTTATTTGTTAAGGCCAAGAGAAAATTGATTGTGTCATGCAGAAAATGAAGGCGAGGTGAGAGGAATTTATAAGCAAAAGGCTTCAACTATACTGATTATAAAAGGAAGAAAAAGACTAATTCTCCTCAAATGTAAATGCTTACAGTAATGGTCATTGATAGTTTGATTGATATGTAATTGATAGGTTCCAGGTCACCAGAAACACCTGGAAAGTAACAGCTCAGCTGCCAAATGCTAGTGACCAGCAACCAGGTCTCACTTTCTTCGTGATTTTTCTCCAACTCCTCTTCATAAGCTTTCCTATTCCCTTTTGCAATAAAATCAGAAGTAAATAATCTAATTCATATGGAATGATTATCTAAGAATCTTATAGGTCCATATAATTTTATAACTGACCTTTTTTGTACTGTTCGAAATCTATATTTTTTTTCATTTATTTGCTATTGAGAAGTAAAAAAAAATTGTCATTGCTTTGGACAAAGAGTTGCCTTTTATTTTCTCTGTTTAGGACATTTTTATATGCTATTTCCGTATAATACCTTTTCTCGCATGCCTATGCAATGTATGTTTAACTGATGTGACAGATAGTGATTGGAATCTTAGCTTTGTTTTGATATCTAAATTTTTACATTTGTATTATCCCATTACATTGTAAAAGTTCCTATGCCTGTCACCAGCCATGATATTTGGAATGAAAAAAATTGCTATGGAAAGGAAATTCAGAATATCATAGGTGATGAGCGATAACTCAGTAAAGCATTTGATTCCATCCCTATTCTCCTTGATTCCCCTCTTATCTTGCTGTTTAATAATATCTAGCATGATGACTTAGAAGATCCGTCATAATATGGTTGACTGAAATAGATACTTCGTAGTTAAGATCTATGAAAACTAGAAATATCTGTTCTAAAATTACTTTCTATTTACTTGTTCATGCTTAGTATCTCTATGTTTAAAATGAGTAGAAATATAAAAGCTAAATTAAAATATTTAGAGGTCGTAGGATGTTACATATTAGTATTTCCTTCTATAGTATTATGCATCAGAGCCTTACTTACTAGAAATCTATTTGGTATGAGTTTTTTCTTGAAACCAAATTATAATGTGTGACTGTGGGAAGATCAAAAAGCAATGTTTTTTGTTGTTGTTCTCTAGTAATTTGCAATAAAATATTTCCTAGTAATAGCCTTTAGAAGTTTTAGTATTATCACACTTCATAACTGGAGTGGGAGAAATCTTGGTAGGCCGTGATACACAATAGAAAAAATTATTTGTGATTATTCCAGAGCTAAAGCAGAATAACTATGCCAGGTCTGATTAAACCATTGTAATTGCACACCTTCCTGTAATGAATATTACTCTTCAGAAGTTTTACTTTTGTGTCTTCCATGTTGACTGTTCTGCTACTAAAACTAAATTTGTGAAACCCAAGGATAATTTTATAAATAAGTTTACTGTTATTCCCGTCTTTTATATTCATTTCCTTCTTTCTCTTTTTTTGTAATCTTTTTGAGGCATCATGACATAGCCAAGTGGTTTAACTTTAATGGACAGAGTATGTGGTATAAGTATATGAGTATATAAGTATATGACTATACTTCTGTGTGTGATTGCCTTTGATGCAATTTGGGGAGTATTTACTAATTTCCTGTATATACACATAATCTAAGTTAGCTTGCAAGATGATGTCAGTGTCATGCAGAAATATGGTATTTTTGCTCCTTTTCTACTTCCCCACCTTCCTCTCTCAGTTTTATATTATCTGAAGAATTGTTTATTGATGAAATTGCTAAATTATGCATGATTCTATGGCCTTTTCCTTTCTTTGACCTCCTTATGAATTACTTGGTGATGAGTTGTGAGCTAGTGATACCCTCATCATGTATAGTGCATCATCAAAGTTAAATCAGAATGGAGAGAGGTCAAACCTTTCTGCTGAATTCTTTTCTTGTATCACTCAGTAGGTTTATTTTAGTTTAACTTTTCTTGAATGTTAAAAACTTTTTATCTTTACATTTAAAAACTGAACAATCTGATACAATCTCTTTTATCAAAATGATATAATCAGTTATGACCCACTGTTGGTGAAGTGATATAAAAAAAATGGGCTTTTGCCATCTCTCCTCTGCCTGTTGTAACTGTATATTTTTAAATTCTGGATAGTGTAGATTTGTTTTTTCCTAATCCTTAAAATATGATTATTTTAAATTATTATAAAACCTGTTTTATTCCTTCTTCTTTTAGTCCTCTTTTTCCCACCTTAAAATACTGATAATAGATGTATTACAGAAAAATAAATAATACTGTTTGCTTAGCAGAAGGTGCTATTAGATGCCTTGGGAAGAAGCCATAAAAGCAAGGACCAAAGAGACTATTTTCATTTGGCTCCCAATAAGTAAATAGGGAGTTGTAATAATCTCTCACAATAGTAAATTATGTGTATGCACATTTCAGCTGAAATGTTAAAACATTCTTTTTAAATATTTTAAAATTTATGTCTTTTTGGATGGAATGCATCATGAAAAGTGTGCTAAAGCAGATCTTTCACTACCTCCATTGAAAATTTTAACAAAGTGGTACTTCTTAAAGGGAAAATATTTTAAATTTAGGGAAGTAATTTTTGCTTTTCATTTGCTATTTAGTAGACCTTTGTCTGAAGTTACTGATCAGGCCTTAGTTTCAGATCAGACCAAATCTAATGTACTTTATAACTCAAATCAGGAAAAAAAAATCAATAGTTGTAGTGTATTTCCAGTTTAATAACATAATCTCAGAGGGGAACGTGGGAATCAGTGTGCAGTATGCAGTGAGTAAAAAATGAAGAGATTCAAATTTTGCATTTTGTTCTTTCACAAACTGTAAATGATGAATATTGACTGGTTTTCCAGTGCCTCCAAGGTCTCTTGTTTTTATAAAATGACTAGATAAAAATTTGTTATAAAATGATCCTTTAAAATTCTTGGTGGAAAATATTTAGGCTCAGCTTTGAGATGTACGTACCTGCTTGCAGCTTACTGTGAAAGACCATAATAAAGAAAATTAAAATTAAGGTGACATACCAGAAATTTTCATGACAGCATACAGAACAAAAAGCTGAACGTCAGCGTCAGTTGCTTTTCTTAGTTTTGGATAGTTTGTATGTATCAAATTGTTTTCCAAAGAGAGAGAGGACTTTGAGATAGGAAGTTTGAGGAAAAAGATAAATTTCTTTTCCCAATGAGTCACTTACAGTAATAGCAGTCATTTCACAAAATGAATTCATAGCACTGAAGTCTATATGGATGAGACACCAAATTGACGAGATTGACCTACGGATGGAAGTGAAAAACAAGTGAAAGTAAACCAAGCTATGTATTACTGTGATAGAAAATTAACTTCAGAGGCACTACATTAACACTTTCAGGTTTTCTTCTAAAAAGTAAAGATGATTTAGGAAACTGCTTTGTCAATATGTAATGAATGTAAATAGTCTCTTTTTCATCTGACCTTTTAGAGTTTCAATAACTTTCCTTGGGCTTCAAGACCTTAACAAATGATAATGCATTGCTGACTTGGTGTGTTTAGGTGAGGAAAGACTGACAGCTATGCTGCATAGAGGAAGATAGTCTTACAGCTGCTGCTATGATCTTTTAATGACTCTTTTCAAGAGGAGAGCTTTCAGCTTCTAGTCTTGTCTTTTAGGTGTGCACATAAAAGTGAAATTTGTTTTAAAGTAGACAGGAAGATGAATAAAACCTTAATTTCTGTATTATATTTATGTCAAAGAACACTTTTTTTCCCCCTAAAAAGCATACCTCAGAAACCTGTATTTTTCTTTCTTCTTCATCTACCATGCTGAAGCGAAGTATATTTCTGGCTAAAAGCAGTATTGACTCAAGTTATATCCTCTGCTCCAACTCATGCATAAAGCTTGTGCCAGTGCTTGTGTGGATATGGATTGATGTTGGATTTGAGCTGAGCATGGACCAAACCTTGAATGCAATGTCTGTGCAGCCTGAGTCATTTCCTAGTGTATCAGGGGAAAAAAATATACAGGAATAAATGTGCATGAAAAATATGCTCTGAAAAACAGATATTGTGAATGAAGAGGTGTATTAAGTAACCTTGTTCACTAGGCCGTTGATCAAGTGTGAATTTAAGTAAAACCATCAGCAGATGGCAGTCTGAAATCTGAAGTGGAAGAGCTTTACTGCTCCTTGCGATATCATTTGTAGTTACAAACAGCAGTTGCTGGATCTAATAAGTATTCCAAGGAGGTAGTGTTGTATACTGATGTTTCTTATTCCATTTTCATAGGTTATATGGAATTCTTTTATATAAAAACAATAACAGATTATCGTGCCTCACAAGCTCTTAGATTACATATATCTATAATAACATACACACGTGTGCATGCGTGCACACACATGCACTATATGCACAAGGTAATATGATTAATGCACAGCACAAGCCTTGAATAGCAGCACCTTTCCTGTCTTGGTTTTTCTCCTGGTTTTGAGGTACTTTTTGATAAAATGAGGCTTTCCGAAAGGGAAGGCAAACTGTGGAACCTTTCAACTGCTCCCCATGGCTATATTTTGCAGCGAGTCATTGCAAAAGGTCAGTGAATTCTTTTTGTTGCAAAGGGAAATTGCTTATCCTTGTTCTCTTTTGGAATTCAAACAGAAAAGAAAAAAAATGGCCACACCCTGGGGACTTTCTCCCTCTCTTGCCCTTTTTTTGTCCCATTCTCCAAGTGGAAACAATGCCTTGTTTGCAGAAAGTAGAAAAGGATTAGTGCTCTTGCT